GCAGTGTGAGGACGGTGAGGGGGATGCTGACTCTAAAAGGTGTTTATAAGAGAATGACTGAGGTGAAACTCAACAGTGCTCCCAGAGTGCTCCACTGAGATTTGAGACATGGACTGTGATTGAACACAGTATAGTTCAAAATTGAGTGGAGACAGGTTATACTCTGGAGCTGATTGACAAGGAAAGAGGGAAGGATGAGAAAAGTGAAGGAGGGAGGGGATGAAGAAAGAGAGGGAGGGAGGGAGGGAGGGAGGGAAAAATGGTCCCTCAGTTGCCCAGGGCTAGTCTTGAGATATGGGTGGGTACACACAGTGCTGCCTTATACCTTATTTATGCTACTGCAAGGACAGAGGCAGGCAGACCCCAGGGCCCAAATCATACTCCAAAATATAGTGACCACAGGTTGTGATAAAAGATAACTCTTTCACTGTCATTCTTAAGAAAACAGCTTTAGGGGGCTGGAGAGATAGCTCAGTGGTTAAGAGGCAATCAGGTTTGAATCCCAGCACCCACTGGTGATTAACAACCGTCAGTGACTCCAGTTCCAGCGGACCCACCTCCCTCTTCTGTCCTCCATAGGCATTGCATGACACATGTGCACTTACATATTATGGAGGCATAATACTCATATACATAAAATGAAAAAAAAATTTTTTTAAATTTAAAAAGAAACCAGCTTTAGAGCTGTCCCTGGTGGCACAGGCCTATGATTCTAGCTACTAGCAAGCTGAGACAGGAACATCATGGGTTCCAGCCTGGACAACTTAATGAGACCCTGCCTCAAAGCAAGAAGTAAAATGAAGAAAAGGAATATAGCTCAGTGGTACAGTACCTGCCTAACATATGCAAGACCCTGGGTTAAAAGCCCTGTGCTTGGGAAAAACCAAACCAAAGCAAACAGACAACTGAATTCACTGTGCATCATTTACTTAGCAAACTTTTTTTTTTTTTTTGGTCTTTTTGAAACAGGTCTCCCTGTACCCCCTGCTGTCCTGGAACTGACTATGTAGACCAGGCTGGCCTTGAACTCACAGAGATCCGCCTGCCTCTGCCTCCCGAGTGCTGGGATTAAAGGCATGTGCCACCATGCCTGGCTGCAAACATTTCTTAAGTAGACACCAAGTAGACACTGGGGATGAAACCCAGGAGGAGAACTAGGCATTTAATCAGCATAGCACACAATGGCATGAAAGATTAAGTTTAGTGATGAATTTCCTCAAGAAATGTATGTGATCCTACATATATATGAAACAAAGGAACTTTCTGCGTTCATATTCATTTTCCTGCTAGATTCTAGAAGCAGGCTTGTGGAATCCAGGAACACAGGAGAGGTCTTGTTAACTGCTATGGAAATATACATGTCAGAAATCCTCTATGCACGCCAACATTCTGGAAGACAGTATTCCTTTTTAACACGCTGGACTGTATTTTGAAAATTATCACAATTTTTAAGCACTAGAGGCTTTAAATCTGGGAAGAGCCCAGTATGTGAGGCTAGAGAAATGGATAAGGGGTTAAGAGCACTTGTTACTCTTGCAGAGGACCAGGTTTTATTTCCAGCACCTACATGATGGGGGGCCACAAGCATCTGTAACTCCCAATTTCAGGAAATCCAGTACCCTCTGGCCTCTGGTCCACCAGGAAAGAATGTGGTACACACACATATATGCAGGCAAACACACATAATTAATAAAAAATAAATAAATAATAAATAAATAAATAAATAAATAAATAAATAAAATCTAAAGAGACATTTTAAAAGAACCCAGAACGTAAAGTACTAAACTGGTCTACCTGGATCCCCAGGACTGGGAGAAGCACAGCCCTCCCTCTTTCCTCTGTTCTCAGGGAATCTCTGTGTTCCAGGGCTGATCACAGCCCATGGTGCCATACCTCTTCAACCTTCTAGGGTCCAGTCACATCACAGGCCATGTGATTAACGAGATCAACAGCAATTTAGGTACTTCATAGCCTTGGGATTCAAAAGGGAGCGGAACTCTTCAACTTTAAAAATGCTCTTTTCAGACAGGGTCTTGCTATGTTGCCTAGGCTGGTCTCGAACAATCCTCGCACTTTAGTCTCCTCAGTGCATGGACTATAGGTTCCAGCCACCGTGCCCCCAAAGAGTGAAGCATCCTTAAGAACCTGGCATGCGACAGCACTGCCGGTCATTCCTATGGGTTATGTTTTCACATCTCTTCTTCTCTGGTGGTACCGCTCCCTGCCCATTTGACAAGTGAGCTAGCCAAGACTCAGATCTGATTACATGAGTCCCCAGTGGAAAACCAGCATTTGAACTTAGGAATTCTCCACCTCCCAAGTTTTTTTCCCTTTCTGAGACAGGGTCTCATTTTATAGTTCAGGTTGGCCTGGAACTACTCAGTCTCCTCATTTTCTGGGATTACAGGCCTACACCACCCACCTGGCTGATGCTGTGTTTTCTATAAAAGTCAGGGCTGCTGTTCTGCTTGGGCCAGCCTGGAGGAAGTGGCGTGCTAAGGGGAGAGGCAGAGGCAGCTTTCTTGCCAGCTCTGCTCCTCCTCTCTTGTTTCTTTTCTCCATGTTGTTGGCACTAAGACCCTGGGAGACAGAGTGGCTTGCTTTCACCTTAATTAGTGCTGCAATTTGCTAAATTTTGTTTTTGCCTTTTTAAGAGTGTTAATCAATTTTAGCTCAGAATAGATTGGAATGGCACACAAATTACCACGACAATCCCTAAATGCTAAATTCTGAACATCTTGATCAACCTCGGAGACTGAAATATGTGAAAATCGGAAACTCCAGTCTGCATCTCTGTGATCTATTTAAAATGTTATCTCTCTGAAATGAAAAGATAATGGCTTTATGGGGTTTAGAATAAGCAATTTGCCAGAATCAGCCCCATGCCTAGGTGTCTGGTCCTTCCCAAGGTGATGAGAAGCAGAGCACAGACATTTTTCTACAAAGGTACTGGTTCCTCTAATGACAGCAATGCGCCTAACCCATAAGTATGTCGAACACCTACTATGCACCACTTACGATGCACCAGAAAAACAGAAAATAATGTGTTCCTCCTGTCTTCCTATCCCCTTAAGGAGGTTGTACTACACTACTAGACTCTAAGGGTGTGCCCGACCCTCTCATGCTGTGGCACAGCACTGTCATTTATAGAGCTCATGCTCAAGAACCATTCAGTTGAGTTTCAAATACCCAACTCTCACCAGAGACGCTTCCTTTTGCAGCAGAGGGTACTTAACACAGAGACCCACAACTGGTCAGTCCCCAGACAATGAGACTGCAGAGCGCTCGGCCCTAAATGGCATCTCTGTCACACCCCTCCTCCAAAGTCTCAGGAACTGTCATGGAAGAGGGTGTGGAAAGACTGTAAGAGTCAGGGGTGGTAGATGACTATAAGGAAACAGCGCTTTCTTGACACAACAGGGCAGTTTCACATATGAACCCACAGAAGTTGTGACAGCATTCATAAGACCTGTGCAAGCTCAAGCCAAATAAAATCCCAGCATGGAGTAGGGAGGTGGGCAGGAAGCCTCAACCATAGATGAAAAGTTGTTGGCAACTGATACTTGCTGGGGCAGGGAGAGACAGTTTTCTTTAAGGTTGTGACACTGGCAGGCTGTCCATGTTACAGGGGATGAACCCACACTCAAGAGTATTTGGGAACATAAATCGGCTCCATGGGTTTAAACAAAGAAGACATGAGATGCGTGGTGGGGTAGAGAGATAGGTTGGTTTTGAGAGGAGATGGGGGAGCAGGATTGAATGTGCTCAAAATACATTGTATGAAATTCTCAAAGAACTAATAAAATATTATTTTAAAAATCGCATGCATGGGGTTGGAGAGATGGCTCAATCGATAACAGCAATGGTTGTTATTCCAGAGGACCCAGTTCCAGAGGATTCAATACCCTCTTCTGGCCTCTGCAGGCATTGCATGACATATATGTACTTACATACATGCAGACAAAACTCATACACATTAAATAAGTAAAATTTTTTAAAAATCACACATACACACACACACGCACACAAATCTTATAATGTTTTAAGTAAGTTTACTATTTTCTGTTACATACAGTCATAGCTCTGCTCAGCTGCATGGGGCCTAAGACCATGGATTGAACACATCTGTGAGGGGAGAAACTTTCTTTCCCGTTTTTGGAGAGATCCAGGAAGGGTCTCCAAGGAGATGGCAATGCTGCCAGGTACAAACAGGTACGATTGTGATATGAGCACAGGAAGAACATTATGATAGGGAGAACAGCACGACAGAGGAGAAGGCACAGGATCAGATGGGTTTGATAATACTTACAGGTTAAGTGATAGAGAGTTATGGGAAATCAAGTCAGATGCCAGAATGCCTGCGACTTCTTAATTAGACCACAATCTCAATTATGATGCAAGCATCACTAAAGGACTTTAAACAAGGGAACCAGACAACCAAATGAGCTTTATCCTTGAAGCCCTCAGGGCTAACGTAGTATTTATTCAGTACGCTCTTCCGTAGGGCATCTTCACATATTCTCTCATCCAAAACTGTTAATTACTCCAGAACTTGGAATTATAACCTCCTTCATACCTGTGAGAAAATATGCCTCAGTGGGCTGGTGACAGGCTTTGTGTTTTATGACTGATAATTCATAGTGCAGAGTTAAGTTGGGGTCTGTCAGACTCTGAGGCCAACATTTGCCTCACTTGGCACCAGAATTCTCTAGGATTCTACCACAGACCATGTTTAGATATGCCTTGAAGCCAGTGGAATTTCTGCCTCTACGGAAAGCCTTGGTGGCCAGAACTGTCCAGACTAATGTGGTCCTGTGTTAACAAGGTGGTTGTGTTACTATGTTCAGTGATAAATTTGGGAAGGCCAGTTACATCCTGCACACTTTCTGCTAAGAGTTGAGGCAAATTGCTCCACTCTATTTAATTTCACTGGACTAACCCTTCGGGCTAGATCAAATCAGAGCGGCTCCTCTCCCTTCTTCCTTTCCTCCTTTCCATACCTTGAGCTCGTCAGCGTTGTAGAAGTCCACGCGTACCGCGGGTACCATCCAGGTCTGGAAGAGTGTAGCCAAGATCTGCTCCGCAATGGAGTCAGCGATGAGGTGGAAGTGCAGAGGGTTCCGCCTGTGGGGGAAGAGGAGGAGGTTGGGGAGAAGTAAGGGCTTCGATTATAACTGAAAAAACACCCCCTTCCCAGCTGCTAATGTGGGGGCAGTGTCCCCAACTCTTGTGGAAGTCAACAGGGCTTCTTAAAAGGATACTGGGAATGCAATCCAGAGAACACTCCACCAAGCTCAGAATTTGAGTATGAACAAGAAAGTACCACAGAAGGCAAAAGTCACTGGTGACACCCAACGGAAGCCAGTAGCCACATCTGGTGCCACGGCACCTATGTTCTAAGAATTTGAAGTAGGGCATATGTAACAACTATGTCAACCTTTGCATCTGCTACCTGGACATAATAACATTTGTGGAGAAACACATTGACAGGAGGTCATGTTTCTAAATTGTCATGGGCAGCTGGCAAGGCATCTTTTCCTAATGCTCATTATTTTTCAAATCAAAGCCAGGCTTTCATGTTGAAGTCATCTGCAGCCTTGTCAAGAATACTAGCCTGTCTTTCTTTTTTCTAGTATGGCCAAGGCCTTCATTCATCCAACTGCCGGCAGTGACCGGCCTTTACTGGGCAATGCATGGCAGCATGACACAAGTCCCTACTAGGGGCTGCTGTGCTTTCAGTGTGAAATGTGTATTAGAACACTTGGCCTCCAGCTGGTAGCACTGTATGGGAAGGTTATGGAAACTTTAGGGGGTGAACTTTGGATGAAGGGACTGAGTGACTGGAGGAAGGTGTGAAGCCTCAGAACCCAAGTCCACTTCCTGTTCTTGCCATGCTTCTGGACTGCAGGTGTGACCAGTTGGCTTTCTCTCTGTGAAGTGATAGACTCCATTGAAATTGAAGCCAGAATACACCCTTCCTTCCTTAATGGCTTCTTATTATGTATTTTGTCCTCCCAGCAAAAAGAAAAGTAACTAATACAGGGACAAATGAAAATGGGTTTCAAACTCAGTTCCGGCATTTACAAGTGTCAACCTTAAGTGTTCACACCTACACTGGAGTGCTAATTCTTCCCTCTGCAAAATGTTGAGAAAAACCTCCTTATGAGGCTATTGATTAAATGAAAAAGTACAATATATGGTGTGTAAAGAATAAACATCCTATAGTTTGAAGGTGAAATGTCCCCAAAGGCTCGTGTTTTGAACACTTGGCCATTTAGATGATGGCACCCTTTTGGGATACTGTCAAAACTTTAGGAGGTCTGGCCTTACTGGAAGAAATAGGTCCTCAGAAACCACCTTTGAAGTCATGCCTCATTCCTCTCTTTCACTCTGTTTCCTGTGTGCCATGTGGTGAGTAGACTCAGCCATAGGCTTCTATGACTATGACGTTCAGCCATTCCATCAGGCCAGGATCAGCAGAGCCACCAAGGACTATGAACTAAAACCTCTGAAACCGTTGAGCTAAATCAATCTTCCCCCCCTTTAAATGATCAATGTCGGGTATTCGGTCACAGCAACGAGAAAGCCAGCTGGCATACAATGGGAAAATACCGAACGGCAGTTGTGACCGCCATGGCACATGGTGGACACAGAGCTGTAGTTCATTCAAGATGAAGCACTGCAGTGAATATAATGCCCTGTAAACAGCAACCTGACCTTCCCCACCCCAAATTAATGACCACTGACTGCAAAGAACACAGCCTGAAATCCACAGACGGAAATGACCATAGCCAACCTCCAGGAGCTCACACTGTCTGAAAGACACAGTTAAAGAGGAACTCAAGGCAAAATGTTTGATAAGGACAACGGAACATAAAAGGAAAACCTCTTCTACAGGAACAAGGTGTTCCACATGGGGAAACAAATCTCACAGATGGAGAAAGAGCTTATATATGGAAAAGATTTTACATAAGACAGGGGCGGGGAGAAGAGGATAAAGGGACGAAGAGGGTAACAGTGAGGTCCCTGCATTAGTGGTGCTGTCTTTAGGACAGGGGACTCACCAGAAAGAAACAATACAGGGAAGTGAAGCATTTTGAACTGTATGTGGTGAGGGTATAGCCAGATGGCACTGCTGGCTGGATGAGTCGAGGACTAAAGACAGTGGTTATAAATGGAGACTTCCACACATGGAACAGGTGCTTAAGGGTGATTAACTGAGAACGTGACTCAAAAATAACCCAACTGGTTATGTTGAACTACTCCAAGGGGCCCAATGCTTAAATTCAGCAAATTCTCCTACTAAGCCATCTGCTGGAGAAGAAGAGGCAGGTCTGCCACCTGGCTTCCTCTAAAGCCCACTAAAAGCCTTCCTTGCCAGACTTTACAATGCCCTAGTGTTGTGTGGTGGTATGAGGAACCACAGGCTGTGTGCCCACTGGCCAGTGACTAATCCAAAGGCCAAGTCTGAGGTAACCAGACAGTCATGGGGAAAACACAAGGTCCGTTTGACTTGGCTTTGGTACGCCAATTTCTAATGCCACCATAGTTACCATCATGTCTCATTCAGAGAACACATAGGTATAAGCCTGCATAATCGCCATCCACTGCAGGGGAGCAACAGCTGATTTTAGCCATGAGGTTAACAATGTGAAATGTGCTAAGCTACTTCTCTTTGTCCCACATGTCATTTTATCTGCACATTTAATCTTGCTCCCTGTCCAGGGAAATCTTTCCATCTTCTCACAGGCTCCTGTCCTTCCTAAAAGTTCCCTTTAGAAGTCATCTCCTCCAGGAACCGGCTTTGACAATTTCCTTTATGTTTCCCTGCTCCTCTGCCCCTTGGGGTGTCCAAAGTGAAATCTACCTTCTCTTCAGGACAATACCAGGGTCTGCACTGTCAGGGGGATTTGTGACTCTTAGCTTCTCTCTCTAGCTTATGAGAATTTTTTGTTTTCAGAGACCACAGGTGGCTTCCAACACAGAGGAACACTGAGACCTAGTGGTTTGCTGACAATGTCTCAAGGATCAATGGTTGGGCATGCTCAGAGGGCTTCAATTCGTGTTCTTGGTACAGTCATGAGAACTGGTGACCCTTGTGAGGCTGTGGATCCTGTAGATATCACCTCTCAGGAACTTTCTCTTAGGGCCCTAGTCAATACACCTACAAACACTGCCCAGGACATCTTACTCTAGTCTCTGTGTAAGCTAGAATGCCTCATGAGCTTTAACTTGCAAAGCCAACTGCCAACCAGATGGTCCCTCTTTCCCAGCCCACAGGTCCCTGGAAATCCAGAAGACCCCGATTATAATGCTCTGAACATGCCAAGCTGATAATCATCTGTGGAGTGTTATGTGTTACCTGTATTACCTCTAGAATGTCAGCTCTAGGAGACAAGACACTTGTCCATACCCTCTCCTTCCAGAACATTGCCTGGCATACATATGGAGGAGGGGCCTACACTTATTCTGAATGGCTGCATCACTTAGTGACTCCAAGCATTTCCGCCTTTGTTTGCTTGGTCCCTTGCAAGGCCTTTCCTTCTCGGGACTGAGAATCACCATCTTCCCAACCTCCCTAGCAAGAAACAGGCTTATCCAGATTCTTCCTCACTGATGTTTTCCATAGTCATCAATGTCAAGTCCTGAGAGAGAGCTCAGACCAGGGGTTTCAAGCTGGGTCTCAGGAGTCAAATCCCCTGATTTTGTCTCACTTCTGTCATAAACAAATAGTGGATCTTAGGCAAGTTTTGTTCAGCTCTGAGTGTCTGCCTCCAAATCCCAAAAATGGGCTTAGTGGATTTGGTAAGAATAGCTCCAACCATATAATATACATGGAGGAATCAGAGCTGCATGTTGTTAATAATCATAGATATAACCATTGGTGATTTCATGGCTATTTCATTTCCTTTTCTATGTCCACTGCTTCCTCCAACAAATCTTCCATCCTGTAAGTTCTATGCTCTAAGACAACCAAATAATCCTCTGTCCACTACGTGCTGTGTCAAGGCCCAGCCACCAGCACTGAGCTCACAGGACTTCTGATCGCTCCCATCCTCCTCTTCAAGCTCATGTTTTCATATTCCTTCCCCCAGCTCTGTACCTAGCCATTTCCTTTCCCAGTGCTAAATGTGACCCACCCCTGCTCTTTCTGCAGAATAAACTCCAGGGTCATTTCCTTAGGGGAGCCACCCTTTATCACCCTACTCAAAGTAGTCTCATCTCTACCCATGATGCTCCACTCCAGGTCCCTACTTGGTTCGATCCTCACACAAACTAGCACTGTGAAGCGCCATATTCAGATATCTGCAGTTGTCTCCTCTCTCCAGAAAAATATGAGCTGTGTGGGGTAGAGCTTCTCTCTTTTTACAAGCGGCTACTCTTGTTCCCTGCCTTCTCAGGGTTTGCAAAGTACATGGCCAAGGTGTAACTCCACAGATTCCCCATGCTCTCCTGCAAGCCGTACTCATGTTGTTGCCTCTTCCCAGACCAACCCCACTCTGCTAGGCTCAATGTTTCCTGCTTTCTGCTCTCAAGGTAGCCTGGTAGCTCTGAGGAAGCCACTCACTGACACAGGAATCCCACAGCACCGCCCATTCCATCTTGCACAAGACTGGGCATTATGAACTCCATTTTACTAATAATCTCATCCCCAGAATTTTTTGTCACATACAGAACTACACTGTCTTGTTTAACAAAAGAATAAATGGACTAATTGTTACAGTAGCATAAAAGCCCCCTAAGAGAAATCTGGCCAAGAGTCTAAGAATCTTGGCCTGGATGAAGACCACCTTTCCAGTTTGGCCAGATCACCTGGTCATAAGACCACTCCTAGTAAGGTAGGTTCACCTTAAGTCATGCTAAAGAGGTGGGGCAGAACACCTAGTGTGTTAATGAGATGGTATCCTGTTCCTGACCACCTTTCCAGTTTGGCCAGATCACCTGGTCATAAGACCACTCCTAGTAAGGCAGGTTCACCTTAAGTCATGCTAAAGAGGTGGGCAGAACACCTAGTGTGTTAATGAGATGGTATCCTGTTCCTGATCAGAATCTCCACCGCTTAGCACAGTGCTTGTGGACTAGGTCACAGACATGGACACTCTGAAAGTCTGTGCACTTTTCTG